CCCTCTGCACTCTCTTGGTCTGAATATCCCTTGCCAGTTGAGCTTCAAGGATAGGCAGGCAGCTGGTGTTGCATTTAGTTCTTTCTACAAGTCTACTAGAAGGGTGTTTCCATAATGCATCCTTGACAAAACCATGCAATGTGATCAGGTGGCCAGGTTTCCCTTTTTAAATACTTAGGCACAAAGATTACATAAACATACAATGTTGTTCCTGCTTCTTTGGTCTGTTGTGAATGATAATATTCTGACCAAAGAAGCACCTGTACAGATAGAACTAAGCCTTCTTATGTCCAAGTGGGGAGGGGGGAAAACACTTCATTATTTTAATCTGGTCAGAACAGGATCTGAAACAAGGCCATTCAGACAGTATTGTAATGATATTAAAGTGATTGTCCTACCTGGGACCCAAGGCCATTCAGACAGGATTGTAATGATATTAAAGTGATTCTTCTACCATTTAAAGGCCTCAACTCTCTTATGGCCTAAACCAGAGGAAACACTGAATTTTCTTTACAATATTGAGCCACCACTTTATAAATGACAGAATCATTTTAGGGTACAAGAGGTGCTTTAAATGTGGTAACTTTATATCATTTCAAGTATAATGATCATAATTACTTATTTCTTTTAATCACGACCCACTTAACCACTTTAGTGCAGAGAGGAATAGTTCAAGGAGTTTAATTTTCATTCAACATCTAATCTTCATGTTTACCAAAACCCTTCATGGGCTTTGTTTACTGTCTGCTCCCTGGCCTGGACGTTTGATCTTACAAGACTGGATCAGACAGGGTCAGATAAAACACTGATTACTGGAATAGGGTAGTCATGGTAAGTAACACTGGTTTTTGAAAATCACCCCAGCTTCCACATTTTGCAAATAAACTCAAATGCACAAATGTGACAGTTAACAATCAGGGATTTATCTTACAAAATAATGAGAGGGGAAAAAAAAGATGGCAATAAAGCGATCATGCGTTTTACCCAAACTTTGAGGAGGGCATCACTTAGTCCACTATGTCTAGAAACAGTATTATGTGACAAATAATTTTTTGACAGCTTCAACAATATTCAGGTGAACTTCCAATGACCTCTCCTAATTCATGGGCTATACATGAGATTGAATTTAAGATTCTAAACTGCACAAAGATTACAAAACAACCTGCTTTATGCTCAGTAGTAGTAGCAGAAGAAAAAAGCTTTAAGGATAAACTAAGTAGGTTCCATTAAATCATTAATTTTTCATTTGAACTTCATTTGGAAGTATTCCATGTGAGCATTTCTTTGCTGGGACACGCTCCTATCCAGCACCTAGCATGGAACATGGCATGCAGAAGGAGTTTAATAAAATGTTTGCCAGCTAATAGTCTGGTTACCTCATAGAAGTAGGCCACAATAAGTGTTTGTGAACTACAACATTAAAATTGTATAATAATAAATAGGATAAAATAAGTGTACATACAAACCAAGTTCATGCTATGGTGAGAACAGGTATGAAGGGAGGCAATTCTTTAAAAGATTTGCTCTTTCATCTTGATTGATCAAATTCCTTAAAACCAAAATTTATTATATAGGGCACACTTCTTAAAAATGATATTCCAAAAATCTAAATATTTCAATTTTACAATAGATTATATCTAGTCAACCAACACTAAAAACAAATTAAACAATCATTACCATGTTCTCTACAGGAAAACAATAAACTCAAAATTATAAGCTTAAAAAATAGCCAGCTATATGGGGACTGACATTATAGTACTGCATGTGGAATAATAAGGAGTAATTTCTTAACCACTGTTATCACCCTCCACAATATTCTGACATACAAAACAACTAGGTAGCTGGCTTAGAGAATTAAAGACAAAGGCATACAAAAGTAGCCTATTCATTTTTAAAAAAGTATTAATAGTAACTCCAATACCCCTGGGTAAACCATAACTGTCTCTGAAATTAAAGAGAAAACAATCTATCCTAATGTGATCATTACAGAAAAGAAAGTTAACATACTAAGCAAAACTAACTTTGGACTTTTTAAAGAATAAGTGTAAGTAGTTAAGCTATATTTACAATAAGTCCAACAAAATGCATACTGAGAATGTTTACTTCAAATTTCATACAGTTCCATTTGTATATAGTTTTTACATCTGTTGTTAATGATATCAAATTATTGATTATTCACTTTCTCATATTTATTTAAGCATTAGGTATAGAATCTGCAATCTGATGCTTTTTTCCTCCTTCCAATGGACTTTTATTTTTGCTGGGTTTTAGTCATATTTACTTTGATCTTTCAGAGTATATAATTATTTTACTGTTTATTTATTTCTATGAGAAAGGAAAAAAAGCTTGACCTAAGAGATCTATATGTGGCAATTTGTAACGGAATCACATAGCTTACATTTAGGAAATCATGGTTTTGATTAAGAAGCGACCATTTAGTTCCCACTGTTTTATTAAAACAGACATTAGCAGATAATAGGAAACATATTTAACACTGTACACTGCATTTAGCTTGTGACATCACTAAGGTTATTTTGAAACTCTCTTCTATGTTGCATATCTTCCACTGTACATAGAAACTGGCTGCTTGGGAATGGGAATGGAGAAAAGAGCACAGAAACCAGTCCTTTGTATTCCCAGGCAGATTTCTGTTTGCTTTTTTTTCTAGAACTGCTTTCCAGACTTGGAAAATCTTGGACCTCTTCTAAATTTTGAAAAACAAACCAAAAAAAGCCTATATAAATTACCAATTTATTAACTAAATCATCTCTTTCACATATGAAACATGTGAACCTGGACTGAAAAAATTAACCATACAATAGAGATTGTACTAAACCAAATATACCAAAAAAAATACAACATGAATACAGCAATAAATACAACAATTATTTTATGAGAGTTGCAAGTTATTTAAATGAAGTTCTCTGGATGTTTATTTTTCATATATCACTATACCTGTCATGAATACTTTATTTTTCCTCCCACTCCTTTGGTTGATGAATCAACACCACTTGAACTGTTTTATGGCAGCTTGTGTTTACTTCACACATACCTTAACCTTCCCTTTTCTCCTCCTACTCTCTCATTCTCTTTCATATTCTCTCTCTCTGTCTCTCACATACATACACACACACACACACACATAAACATGTATATGTCACACACATTCACACTGTGAAACAGCAAGCACTAGCTACATCACTTTGAACAGCATGTGTACCCAGTGTCAGGTAAACTCTTTAGGTTTGGATCCTTGACCCCTCGATTGAAATCAAGGTCTCATTCTGATTTTACTGCACTTAAAGTTTTAACTGTGCACTTACTAACTAAAAAGGGGGGGGGGAAGCTTAAAGAATTGAATGCTCTAAGAAAGAAAGAAGAAAGTGGAAGATGCACAAAAAAAACCACTTGGAATCTGTAGTGGCAACTATGAGAACACTACAGTGAAGGGCTTCCAGTCCCTCTAAAACTGGCATTACACCCTGGACTATTGAAATAGGAAGCTTGATGCAATTTGCTTATAACAGCAAGTAAATGTGATCTACCAAATGACCTTGAAACTATATAACTCTTTTGATTTTTAGCCAAGGATATGTTCAAGCACTTTAAAAAAAATTCCCTTTAAAAAAAAAAAACAAACTTGGAGACATTTACGAAAAGAAACACTTGTGAACCACACAATAATGTTTTATAATGAGAAGGAGCTATTCACTGTATGCTGCACAAGGGTCAATATTAATAACACCATATAGAAAGTACTCAAACCAGAAAAGAGTCCTAATAATTTTAAAATAGGTTGAAAAGAAATACATCAATTCAATTTCAGAGTGTTTAATTTCACATATGTAGGTCAACACCTTGACTTTCTTCATAAATATAGTTCAAATAGAATGGTGTTATTCTTTTCAGACGATTAAAAATATTTCCACAGTATTACACCTCTTAAATGGTAACCTTGTAAATAAGTACAAAAATGTTTACTATCCTACAAGAATTATTTTACAAGCTTGTCTTTCCAAAGAAGATTTCCAAGTTGTAAAACAAATTCATCAATTGTTTCTACTCACCCACCATAAACTGGTATTTGTTCTGGCATAGATGGTTAGTTAACTGGTGATAAGGTAGTATTTACACATACATATAATGGAGAAGGGATTAATAAGCACTAAATGCATGCAAAATGGAAAACATTCATTTTAGCATCAGAATGTTATCTTAAAAAATTAGATCTCTCAAGATGCAGGGAACATTAACTTAAACGCATTATTATTACATATGTGCTCATCAGCATTTTCTAATACCATTCCAAAATTTTATAAGGGAAATTTTAAAATAAAAATAGTATTTTAAAGGGCTTGGCACTTCAATAACACATGCAAAAAAGGTATTTGCGGGGGGAATCAAAACTCACTGTACAATTACTTATAAATAAATATGGTGCTACCACCTGACCAAATTCTATCTGATATAACATCATAATCATTCCAATAAATCCAGCATTATTTAAATAAGTACTCCTTCAGCCCAAAAAGACAAATATATAGTATTCTTGAACAAAATCTAGTAAAATATTTTCTATACCAGTTATACTTTTAAAAATACTCTATATAATAATATATCATTTCGTTATATACTCATATAGATAGATATACATCTATTTATATATCTACCTATATCTATGTCTACATAGATATAGATACAGATATAGGTTTGAGTCTTTTGACAGGTGACCATTCTGTGTAAACTACCAGTCATTTACAATGCAACAGAAGCATTTTCTTTAAATTACTTTTCATTCTCACACACTAATTTTAAAGAATTGAATTTAGACCACATTACAGAAAGATTTAAATATCTTCTTTTTATGAGAAATTACATGTGTGGTGCTATATTTTTAAACTATTAGGGGTTTAATATTAGTACTAATTCCAAAGAATCAACAATGCATTTGCCTAAGAAAGATTTGAGAAGAGACTTTAGAAATAATTAAGGTGAATTACCTTTAATCTTCTTGTACTTTTTATACCATCTCCCAAACTCCTGGCACTTGGTTGCTGACACATTGGCATAATATGTGCTATTTACAATGGATGAAATCATGCTCTAGAAAAGAGAAAAAAAAATTTCTAAAATATCTTCTAAAAAATATTTCAGTGACATTGAAGGGCACACTACATTGCTCACACCAAACATTCCTTGTATCCTAATCTAAAATAGTCTCACCAAAAAAAATCAACTTTATTTTCTATTTCCTTTTCTCAGGCACAATTATCTGAGTTCATTCCTAAAGTAAAAAGAAAGGAGGAATGCCTCTAGACTTAGGGGAATCTCTCAGTTTATATTTGAATAACGTCTTTTCTCCAAAAAGCCTATTCAGAGGCAGTCTCATACAGGGGGACAGACACAAAGATTAAACACAATGGGTGAGAATAATTGTGATTTAGGAAGCAGATCCTAAAGGTAAGATGAGATGCTCCAGCATGCATAATCCAAATAATGCTTTTCAGATGTTTTCTGTTCCGCTTCCAACTGCAACAAGACCACACAGCCAAGAATCTGAGAACATTCGTGCTACTCACTGCAGAACAACAGTTAGGCAAATAAGTTAAATTAATATAATTTATAGAAACGTGTGATTAGCACTTGGGTGAAAATTCACCAAATGAAAAAATTAACAGTACTATTTAGAGCAAAGTAAACTAAACATAATACTGTATGGTTTCAACCATTCAAGTTGAAACTTTCAGATTACTCAGTTCCCTTGCCTCTACCATGCCCACCCATTCTTCTCCCACCCCCAAAATTTTCCATTTTGTCAATCAACTTATTTGTAACTGTTGCTTTATAGTACTTAGGAAGAGAAGACAAACATAACCTGAATCTGAGACCTCAATTGACAAAATAAAATAATAGTTGTATACTTAAAAGAAATTTTTTCCTTTAGAGAAATATATGCAGTTAGAATGTATGTATTAGGGGCATGTGTATTTGAACAGAGAGAAAGGTTTGTGCCAGTTTTCAATTTTATGCCCTGACTGGCTTGATGTTTTGTGTGTGTGTTTTAGTTTGGTGTTTTTTTTTTTTAATTCTGCCAGAGCTAGAATATTTTTGTCAATCGCGTGTGGACGTAAACAAACCAGGAAGTCAAATGAACCACGTAAAGCTTTTATATCTTTTCTTGAAATCATATCTTTCAGAAAAATCATCCCCAGACATGTAGGAGTTCAGAAAAAAAAAACATCAGAATGTCTGATGACATTTCTACATAGTTCTAGGGATAAAGGGGATGGCAATAAATCAAGACAATGGCAAGTGATTTACCAGGAGATTCAAACTCTAGCAGTTCCCTGTAAGCTGACATTCAAAATACTACCCCTTTGCAAGATCAAACTCATGTGTCTCTCAGTCTATGCTGGCATTGTTTTCTAAGACCTTACATCTTCTCTGGGCTTCCACTCACTCCATCCTTGGCCCAGGGTTTTACTCCAGTACAGCCTCAAGTGACTCCCACTTTTCCCAGATCTCACAAGGTTCTGAGGTTTTTCTTTTCTTCCTTTTCTTTTCTGATGCTGTACTTTAAAATCAGTCCTTTAAAAGAGCCCACAAAAACTAGCTCCATTTACAAAAAGTATTTTTTGCCCCTTTCAACATAGCAGATGACTACCAGCCCTGTCTTGCTACTACCTTTTAGGTAAGTCGCAGAGAATACATCCCTTGACACCAGTTTCTACAAAGTAAGCCTTTATCAAAGGAAAGACAGCATGATGAGTGGATCTGTTCATTCCAGAATCTGAAGAGGCCAGCCTAAAACAAAGTGTTAATATCACCTAACTTTAAGTAATATAACTCAGTGATGTTTCCCTTTCCATCAAAGAATTAATCCTCAGCATCCTAGGTACAGTATTCTCCTTTGCTGATCATTAAGCAGGGTGGTAAAGTCATCTCATAGCCCTCTTCACCTTACCATTTCCCTGTTTCTGAGCTTAGATCTAGCACAGCACATTGGAAAGAAACCCTGATCCAGTAGTCTGTGGATCTGAATTCTATTTCAGAACTTGCTATAGGGCATTGGGCAAGTCATCATCTGTCTCTGGGTGTTAGTTTCAAAAAGTGAGTACAATTGGACTAGATTAAGCTCCCTTCCAGGACTAATTCTAGGAGTTTATGAGTCCTTCTCTTCTAATGTACTGTTCTGATATAGGAAAATCAATCAACAAGGATTTATTAAGTGCCTACTATATACTGAGCAAGGCACTTACAAGTACAAAGACTGAAACAATCCCTAGTCATAATAAGCTTACATTCTAATGGGTGAGATAACAAGGACATATAAAAATCAATAAGATATAATTTCAGAATAACTAGACAGGTGAAAGGGAATTGAGGACACCTCACACTGTAGAAATAGCATTATTAAAATTTTCATATGAAAGCTGTCTATAAGTAGACAAAAGTCTCCACAAATCCATGTATGCAATAGTGCAAAAGACTTTGTGATGCTTCTGTTTCATTACTTCATCTGGGTGAACGTGGCCACCGGGCAAGCAGGAGAGGATACATACCTTTAGCAGGAGTCATGGTTGAGTAGCAAGACCACTAAGCTCAGTAGGTGGCCAATCAGACTACAAAACTACCCAAAATAGGAGATGCCTCAGGCTTCACTTGGAGTCATGTCTGTCTTGTTCTAAGCCCCAAATCCAAATCACCCTTGATCTCTATGGTCCACCTTTCCTTCTATTTGTGGATCATCCCTGCTTCCTTGTGGCTCTGGCCTTTAATTGTGAGTGGCTAACACCAATGGCTGTATGTTGAAAAAAATAAGCATGCTTCTGACTGGTCCATTAGCAAAGTCCCAGTACTGGAGAAATTTTACATGCTTTGTTTAAAAGAAAGAGGTACAATAGGCCTTGTTCATTTTCCCAGCTTATTATTCAGAGGTTGATAATAAGCTGGTTTCCATCTCTGCTAGCACAGAACAAAAAGAAAAAGATTTAAAGTGCAGAGTAAAGGAATTAGGTTAAACATGAAGAAAATTTTCCTGATAATGAGATGTAAGAAAGAATTTCCCAAAAAAAGGACCATAGTAGCTTCTTTTCAGGAGAGCTTTAAAAATTGCATAGACATATTTGGGAAAGTTTAGATATCATGAAGATATAGGGACATGTGAAATGACTTTCAAGATCATTTTCTGCCATATTATTAGATAAAAACACATTGTACATTTTTTTCATGACTTGAATCCAATTCAATGGAACCTTACCATAAAAGCATCCAAGGGTCCATCCTGTAGAATAATCTTAATGTTGAAAATGGGAATTTTTCTTTTAAAAACTTCAGTAACCAAGCCACCTTTGAAGGATCCAAGATAGAAAGACCTCATGTCAAATTCTATTCTTTAGAGGTCCAGGATTCAAGGTTTCAGTGTCCCTTAGCACACTGTTTTTCTCTGACACTCACTTTCAGATAGTAGACTTTCTCCTGTCCCCATATATAATCAGTGTGGTAGGACACACATGTTATCCATACTACCTGGAGTCTGAGGATGGTGGATTGTTTGAGCTTGGGAATTCTGAGCTGCAGTTGGATTAAAGTCAATCATATGTTCATACTAGGCCCAATACCAATATGATGAGCCCCTAGGGTGGGGAGGTGGTGATCAGGTACCTAGGGAGGGACAAACTGGCCTAGGTCAGAAATGGAGGTCAAAATTCTCATACCAATCAATAGTAGAATAGAGTTCATGAATGGCCGCTGTACTTTCAATATGGGCAAGATAGGCAGATCCAGTTTCAAAGAAAAAAATTGGTATATGTGTGTATGTAATATATATGTACACTATATAGACATATAATTATAATTTATATATGTATATAACTATATTACATACATACATACACATGCACACACACAAAGAGGGGGTCTACCAAAGATAATATAGCCATCCTACAAAACATTTACAATGAAGACTGTAGCAAATGACGATTCTACCATTAATAATTAATGAAATAGATTTTCATGTGTAAATAGAACTTTCCTCTAATGACCTCAAATTACTTTACAAATTAGTTTATTCAGGGGCAGCTAGGTGGCCATAGTGGATAGAGCACCAACCCTGGAGTCAGGAGGACCTGAGTTCAAAACCGGCCTCAGACACTTGACACTCATTAGCTATGTGACCTTGGGCAAATCACTTAACCCCACTGCCTAGCAAAATACAAAAACAAACAAACAAACAAAAAAACAAATTAATTTATTCAGTGAATATTTACTGACTGACAGGATGTATGGCCCCTCTGACAATGAGGGGTGATATCTATTTTAAAAGTGAGTACACAAACGCAGAATGAAGCATCCTGTCCAAAGTCAAATAGAATTATCAGCCATCTATTGTATGTACTAGGCTAGGGGTGGGGAACCTACAGGCTCGAAGTCACATGTGGCCCTCTAGGTCCTCAAGTTGGGCGCTTTAACTAAATCCAAACTTCACAAAACAAATCCCCTTAATAAAATGATTTGTTCTACCAATCTTGGACTCAGTCAAAAACCCAAGGACCTAGCAGTCCACATGTGGCCTCAAGGCCGCAGGTTCCCCACCCCTGCACTAAGTCACATTATTTCTGATGTTTCTGAAGTTAAGGATGAAAGAACTCACTAAGTAAGGGAGTTCTAACTTCATCAGAAACAGTAATCTCTACAGTCAACAGGGTAGTAGCTTCATTGAGAGAAAGTTCAAGATAAAATGGCACACATAACAACGTAAAATTATAACCCCAGATTATCTGTAAATAAATCATAAGGAAGTTTAGAATTAGATTAAATTATGTTACTTAGAGACAATTTTCAAAGTTTATAGGAACAGCCAAAACGAAAAACTAAAGTTACAATTGTTTGTATGACATATTTGGAAAGAAGAATTCTTACCAATAAAGAAATAAAGAAAATAATCAGATTTCCTTCCCCCAACAACCTCCCAAACTTTAGCTTGCAAGCTATTATTGGTTTGAATAGAAACTTTATGCTAAGGGCATCTAAGATACAAGTACATAATATAGCTAGGGTTTTTTTGTTTGTTTGAAATAATAATTTTAGAGCAAAGTAAATTA